TTAGTTGGGAAGTTAATTACCTTTCACTGACCAGGCCTGATATTGCATACTCAATGACCATTGTCAGCCAACATATGAGTGATCCTCGAGAAGAACATTTGGAATCTGTTAACAAAATTTTAAGGTTCATGAAATTTACCCCAGGAGCTGGACTTATATTTAGAAAAAATCAAGACAGAATAGTGAAGGTTTATACGGATGAAAGCTGGGGAGCTGAATTAACTGATAGAAGGTCAGTTAGTGGTTACTGTACATACGTTTGGGGTAATTTAGTGACTTGGAGAAGTAAGAAACAAGTTGTTGTCTCTCGAAGTAGTGCTGAATCAGAGTTTAGAGCAATGGCTCTCGGAATATGTGAAGGAATGTGGATTAAAAGATTGCTCACAGAACTGGACTTAGATGACAAAAATAATTTTGAGATTTTTAGTGACAGTCAATCAACTATAAGTATAGCAAAAAACCCAGTGCAACATGATAGAGAAACGAAAACACATTGAGATAGACAGACATTTATTTACGAGAAGGTCAACAATGGAGATGCAAAACTGCAGTACATTACGACGAAGAAACAGCTGGTAGATATCTTCACCAAAGCCCTTCCACGAGTGACTTTTGATGAGATGTCATTCAAACTGAGTATATACAACATATATACACCGGTTTGAGGGGGAGTGTAGGAATTATAGAAATGAGTTGTCAAACCCTTAAGTTAAGAGATTCTGTAATTATTTTCTGTTTTTCAATCCCTTATTTCAAGGGATTACATCTCCTAGGATTAGTTTCCTTTCTTAGAGTTTCCTAGTTTAGAGGCATAATATGTATATAAATATGTAATATGCTCTACTGAATGTACACAAGAATAAAAATAACAGACTTGTCTGTTTTCTACAGTCTGTTTTCTACACAGTCTGTTTTCTACAATATATACACACAATTAAGCATACCCATGCCAGATACATACCTATATCCAACACTCACACCGGAGACCAAGTAACAGTGACCCTGCATATTGGATATATTAATTCTTAATATTCCTTCCAACAAGAGCATCAAGTTGAGGATCCAGCTCTAAATGGTATTTGTTCAGATATGCATTTAACTCATCAGTTCCTAGCACCTGAAGTTACATTAAAGGCAGTCAAAAGCTTTGTAGCATCAGAGTATAAATTGGCAATACTTTGTAGGAAAGCCATGAAAGAAAAGTGAATATAGAACTTCTTGTTTGATAGTGCATGTAAAGGACGTACGCCCCCTTATCCCCTATCAAGTAATGACTGAAGAAGGAATAAATGTTTAAATTGAAACCTGCAAGGATAATACTGCATCTATAAAAATAACAAATAAACAGCACTAACACGTGCTTGAAAAAGTTATGCAGATGTAGATCGGAAAACAGGATGTATAATATGATTTAGACAAGGACAATACAAATATCTAGACCAATATGTTACTGGTAGCAGTCAGAAAAAACATGCATTATACCAGCCAGAATGTCAATTAAACAAGACAAATGATAAGAACAAATAAATATCAGCAACAACACTATAACATCTGCCAATATGCTGAAGCTTTGTTACCTTGGCAATTTTAACTAGTTGATCATGGTTGTCATGGCCATAGAAGAATGGTTCCTTCCTGAATATCTACACAATCAAACATCATAACTACTCTATTAGGCACCCAATATTGAAGTTTCAAATGAAATTTTAATGCATATAAACTAGAATAATAGTATTTCTCACCATTCCTGCGAACATACAACCAAGGCCCCAGAGGTCCAAGGAATAGTCATAGTCCTGCAAATCTACCAGAAGCTCGGGCACCTTAAAGAACCTGAGAAATATGGAGGTAAATTAAACTTCTCAGAATTGAATCTATGTAGATGATACAGTAAACTGTAGGTAAACAACAGGAAATATATTAAGATTCCACAAAATGCAAATCTGTTGTGTTATTTGTAAAAGATTATAGGTTTTTTATTTTTCAAAAGGTTCTTGTATCCAAGAATAGCATAATCTAAGGATCTGAACTCTGAGCTCATCTCACCCTTGAAGTAGAAAGTGATAAATCTTGTTTATATAAAAAATTATAACATAACCCCGGAAGTACTCTTCAATAATCCAGCTGGTTGTTTAAAATAAATAAATAAATGTAGCACTATCTAATTTCCCAAAGCTTGTCTTTGTTTAATTTGTGCTAAATTTTGCATCTATATGATTGTAACACAAAACATATTCAGTGAGGGAAGCCACTTCAAGGCATAGCGCAGCAAGAATACATGTAATCAACCAAAAAATAATTTTCTTTACAAGGAAAAAGGCAATTTTGAAAAATACTAAGGTATATAATGGGGAAAGTTGGTCATAAATTCACAATGTCTTCCACACGAATATTGTACTCTTTGCCAGGATGATAAAACTCTGCAAGTCCCCAATCTATATCAATCGAAGTTTGCGCAACTCATGATCTATCATGACATTGTGAGGCTTGATATATCTGTGCATTATTCCTTGTGAATGACAGTAATATATCGCCTACGAAGCAAAGAAATATCTACTTATCATTCTATACTGCAAACATGCATGGCAGGAACCCTCAAAAACCTTCAAAAGAGCAGTCCATTTCTGGAACCCAATCAAGTGTAGAATAAAACTACAAGAAATCTCTAAATAATACCACGATGGAGCAAGGTTCAATACATAGAAAGCTAGAATGACAAACATGATGTTACCTTGAGAAGTTCATATATATAGTAGTGAATGTCATAGTCTGTCAAAGTTGGGTAGAGAACCTTTTAATCCGTACTGTTGACATACTCAAATTTCAAGCTTGGTGTTTTCGAGTGTGGATCTCTTACAATATCAAGAAGTTCAACAATATTTGGGCCACCACATAGATTCTGAAGGATTTTAATCTCTCTCTTAATCTGCCAATAATAACAATAATATAAGCTTATTTCTATAATCTATAACCAATGATTCTCCGACAAACTGCCCATATTTGGCATATATTGGGGCAAAGGGAATTATGACTCTCCAAGTACGTATAAAAACTTTTATATAATTCATACTCGTGTCAAACAAATTTCCGTATCCAACACTCGCACCCAAATCCGAGTAACATAGCCTAAATGTGATTATGCCATAAGATTTTCTCATTTAAATCTACTCGAAAATCAATCAAATTTCACAGATAACAAAAAGTACCAACCTTCTTTTTCTTGACAGGCTTGAGGATCTTGATTATACGACGCTCATCGTTATTCACATTTATGCCCTCGAAAACCTCATTGTATTTTCCCCTTCCAACTTTTCCAACAACCTCATAATCATCTTGATCACTAAAAAGATCAAAGTAAAACATTAAGACGAAAATAAATTTGACCAATCAAGAACTGAATCGAACAATTAAAAGATTCGGTTTATATGTAAAAAAAGTTACACTAATTCTCAAAGTAAGCGCGGTTATTTAGATTCAAAGATCTCGTTAAGTTAACCTAATTCCAGAAATTCTGAATTGGCGTTACTTGATGAAACCTACTGTAACTTTCAATTAAAACAATCAAGCGAAAATCAAATGATCAAGGATTAAGGAATGTTTCGAGGAATTAATTTAAATTTACCCCCATTGAACAGTGAGGGACTCGTAATCCCAGTACTCCTTGGGACGAAGAACGTTGACATTAGTATAAACACGAGATTTGGACATGATTCGTCGGCGACTAGGATAGGAGATCTTGTCGACCTTAGGGTTATCGCCACCGCTGTGGGCGAGTGGAGGGCAGGAAACGACGATGGCGCAAGCTAGCGATTGGCAGAACAAAAGTGGAAGGTTGGCACGTCGCGTTTCATTCATTCATTCATTCAAGCCAATTAAATTAGGCTTATTTATTTTCACTCTTTAATGGTTTTTGTATTTTTGTCTGAGCTGATTCGTCGTTCCGATACGAGTAATATTTGGAAGTAAGATAATATCAAATTCGGTAATACAGGTAAATAGTCCATCGATTATGATTTTTTTTAACGTGAGAATTTTTTTCAATCAAATTGTTTAATTAGTATTATTAAATTATTGGTCATTAATATTTAATATAGATATTGATATAATAGTCAATAAAATTAATATAATTATATATATGATTCTTAATATTTTGTTAATGTATTTAATTTAATAAATTAATTTTTAAATAAGGATTGACATATACCAACACATGATCATGATATATATTATTAGTGATATGTATAGATTAATTTTAATTTATTTAATTAAATAAATTAAAATTAACTTTAAAAAGCCCTCCAATAACAGTTGTGACTCGTTTATTCGAACCAACAACAATTTAGAACACTTGTCTAACAAAAATTTCATAACTTCTTCAACTCTCCACAATGAATTCACTTAAAAGACTAAAATTTATCATTACTTATGTATTTGAGGCATTTTCTTTGGTTTCCCTCCTTTAAATTTAGCTTCAAATACACTTGCTTATGATTTTCCCCATATTGTTGGTGCTTCTAAGGTAAAAAAACCCAAAAGTTGGCACCTGCCACTAAGGTCCAATAGATTCAGCATAATTGCTCTCATAGGACAGGTTTGTTATTGTAGTGAACAATTGGAGACAAAAATGCTATGTTGCACTAAAGCTACTGTGAAGGTAATGAAAATGATTCCACTTTACAGATTTCTCCAATCTGGTCTCATCTTTGCTGGCAATTTACCGAACATGTCCACAGGGATTTTATGCGTACTAAATAATGGAAATGCACAGCAACCCGTGTGACATTGGCCTGCTTTTTTTCACCCTTTTAGATTCACTTGATCTCTCGAGTTATTGTAGATTCGGATCACATTGATTGATAAGGTTGATATTAATTATGAAGATGAAATGGATGATTAATTCTGTATGTTATATTTGACTTATAATTATAAGATAACGACAGTCGAAAATAAAACGATGCTAATATAGTTTTTTTACATAGAACTCTCATCATCCATTTTGCTAAAAGAAACCTAACCAGAAACATTCACACATACAACAATAGAAGGAAAAAATGGTGGATAAGAAGCGATCTAAGTCATATTCATAGTTAGAACTTGGAAAATCCAAGGAGCCTGTCCTAGTCTCTCTTTTCTAAATTGCTCTCCAAGATCGGCATTGCTTTCGCTTCCGTTTCGAAACCCCATTGTCGTATGACATGATTCATGGAGGACGAGGAGAAGCTCCGTCCGGAATCCGATGTTCGAGGGGGAGTCGATATCTCATGTTTCTTTGTTGGTGGCCCCAACGTTAGTTCGATATTGCTTTCGTCGATGGCTTCTAGCATTCCGTTACCGTGATGCTCGTTGGCCGGATGTCCCGGATCGAGTTGTCTTTTTCCGTTAGGCCTGCTGTTTTCAATGCTTTTCATCAGTGCCTTCTGGATTTGATACAGACGATGGAGCTCGTACACCTGAAAACATTACATCGAGCTTAAAAAACAAACATAAATATTGTATACATATATAAAAAAATGTATGTGTATCATTTATATATACTTGTTCTTTGAATGTCTCTTCATGTTTTAACATTTCCATCCTCATGGACTCCTTGTCATACAGTCTAAAAAACTTGCCCATTGAAATCCAATGTAGTTTGCTTTTAAAATATTCAATTCACCTGCAAATTTACTAAAATGAAATGATAAGTTAATATTTCTAACACAAACGGTATGAAAAGTAACTATATATATAATATAGAAAGTGATTCATTCACACTAATATAAAATTAAATGAATTTTATACACTTTGATAAATATTTTTAAGGTTAATATTTCAACAATACTTGAATTTATTAATATAATTTATATTTGTTATATATATAAAGTTTCAAATTAATCTTATATCTCTATCATACTGATTTGAAATTATATATATATATATATATATATTTGATTAATCTTAGATAAATACAATGTAATATATGTTCAAAGATAAACTCTTAACCTTTTGACATTTAGTGCTCACATCTCTGGTATTTATGGTGCTCGAACCTAGGCCTGTAAACGAACCGAACGAACACGAATGGGGGTATGTTCATGTTCGTTCGTTTAACTTTAATCGAACAAATAAACGAACACGAACATAAACAAACAAAAAATTTATTGTTTGTCTTCGTTCGTTAAGGAATATGGATTGTCCGTGTTCATTAATGTTCATTCATTTAAATGATAAACTAACACAAATGAACGGACGGATGTAAACGAACATAAGCAAACACAATAAACAAATGTAAACGAATACAAACGAACGTAAACGAACACAGTAAATGAATATAAACGAACGTATATGAATATAAATGAAAATTTATATTTTTTCTTTCCTAACAATTTTAGGATTATATTATTTAATTGTTTTGGGTTTTTTTTTTTATTTAAAATTAATTGAATTTTAAAATATTTATGGGTATCAAATTAAAATTTATTGGGTTATAATATTTTAAATGAGTCTAGAGAGATTGGCTAAACATAAATGAACGCACATAAACGAATGAACATAAATGAACGAGCATAAATGAACGAACATATTATCGAATGTTCACGAACGTAAATGAAGAGCGAGCTTCTGTTCGTGTTCATTCATTTAATTAAACGAATACAAAATATTATTCATGTTCGTTCGTTTAATAAATAAACGAACATAAACAAACTTCCCGCCAAACGGTTCATGAACGGTTCGCTGAACATTCGGTTCGTTTACAGGCCTACTCGAACCCGAGTCCTCAAAGAATAACAACAATTTCTTTACCACAAAGATCACTTGATTCGTACAAAATAATATATATTTAACTGTTGAAAAGTTTTACATAAAATATATAATTATATATTTTCAGTTTACTCAAACATTAATATGATGAAATATAACATGAAATTCAATAATTGAAGTATTAAAATGCTCTTATCAATTATAAAAAAAACTTAAAAATAATATACAACACTCATTTAATTTTATACAAGTGTAAATAATTATCACTCATTCAATGCATCTTAATTTTCCACATGATCCCTGGATACCCCCTCCCCATCCCATACTCATCTAATATTTTTCAATCTACCACCCGCCCACCACCATGATGGGTACAAATTTTCAAATCCACACCCGCCCACGCGGGTATATTTTCAAAATCATCCCCACACCCACTACCCACAAACGACATACCCATCTAGACCCGCCTGACAGCAAACTAATGGGATGTTGGAGTTGGTTCTCATACAGTTTGTGATGGGGTAGCAATGCATGCTTCAATTTGTCAGAGGAGTGACTCTACGAATGTTATGGAGACAAATTGTAGGGAGCATGTAGTCGCAGAGCTGGATTGTTGAGTTACTTTCGATGTTAATGCTCATAGTGCGCCTAATATGGGTTTTGAGGGGCTAAAGAACATGGAAACTGTTGCTTTTGATGTTAATGCATATTGTATGGCTAATTTGTGTTTGGATGGGCAGCATGGGCTAAAGAACATGGAAAGTGACGTGGTTAGTGAGATTATGGGTTTAATCAAAGAGCCGAATATTTCATTAATTAAAGACCAGATTAAAGACTAAATATCCTTAATATTTGATTAAATTATATGTTATATATTATACAATATTAAAATTTATAAATTAGTCTCTAAAATTACATCTAAATTTATAATGGTCCAAAATTTAATAGATATTTAGTTGGGCGGGCAGATGTGGGGCAGGCGGATGCGGGGCGGGTAATGTCTCAAACCCATTACCCGCCCACCACCCACGACGGGTACCACTTTATAAATCCACACCCGTCCACTACAAGCTAAAATTATACCCATCCCCGCTCAATGGAGCGGATGCGGTGCGAAATCCACAAAACTGTACCCGTTTACCATCCCTATCCCTGGATCGTTGATACTATTCACTTTTTTCTTTTTATATGATAATTATTGGCTCATAAATTTATCGAGTGATTTCAATTATTAAAAAGTATTATTTTTTAAATATTGAGTTCAATCAAATATATTTATATGGTACATGATGTATGTATATATGTATATATGTATATATGTATGTATTTCCCTTTTCTTCTTAACTTGATGGGATGGGTTACAATATTAGTCCTAGTTTAGATTATAAAATAGATAGAAACATGCGTGGTTCACGCAAAGGGAAAAAATCATTCCCATTATATATATGAAATTTAATTTAAGAAATTTCCAATTTCCAATTTGAAATTGGAAGTTTTGGATTTGTAGACTCTATAATTAGTAAAGCTGGAGAAGAGAATAGTCGTCAGAAAAATCATTATTTAACAAGAATAACAAATCACGCAAACATGAAATTAAGCTGGTAATTATGTATATTACTATAGGATCATTATCATACATTTTGAATGGAAATTCTTTTGAAGAGTTACTGGAGATCAATGAGTCTGCTAGATCTCAAAACAATATGGAAAAAACATAACCATATGTATATAATATTGAACGTCTAAGCTATCAAAATCAAGCTGCATATTTTTGTGTGCTCATCTTTTTTCTTTCTTTCTCGAAATGAATCCATGCACGGAGAAAAAGATCATACTCTAACCTGTTTGAGGTTCTTCAAGATAAGCAGTTGGTCTCGATTTTGAGCCGATAAGCGCTGGAAGATTTATCCGTTTGAGGTCCGACTCGATTCAACGGTATCTAATGTGACTATCGAATACCGAAACGTGCTATAGAACAGACAAACAAATTAGAAGATGAGAGGCTTGGTTTGACAAGCAAAGAAATGGTATGTAGCAGAGAGGTTTTGAATACAACTATATAAAGCAAAGCTCAAGGATGAGCAAGCAATGCAATTTATATAGTATTGCCATATATGTAATGCTGGATATCTTTAAATCTTTATCAACATAATAACACGTATTTGATTATTAGACAAATAGATTGTAGTTATTTAATAAAATATCGTATATAAGTAAGAAAATAATATTTTTATTTTAACATATAATATAATATAAATAATTTTATATCTGTAAAGTTTTATGTAAATCTCAATTAATCTTATGTAAATCTCAATTAAATCTTAAATATGATCTGGTCTGGATTGGAAGAGTCATCTTTTAACCTAAACTTTTATGTACCAAAAAATAAAAATGATATAAATAATTTTATTTTAATTATATTGTATTTTTATGGAGAATTTGATATGTATAATATAAATAAAGAAATAGAGCAACTTATTTATTGGCATCGGTAATAGCACACTTTCCCATGGTATAGAAAAATAAACGGAGCAGTGGATAAGAATTATTGGATTCTCTTTCACCAAAACATGGAAGAAGGCCATCACAATGATTAATTATAGGCCGTTAATTGCCCATTTGAGGGAAATCAATCAACCTTCACACGGTCCGATAAGTGGACCCTTTAATGTTCCCCATTAAATGTATTAAAATAAAACAAACAGGAATCAAGTGATGTTCTGATAGAGGAGTTGTTAATATTCTTGAAGATGAGAGTTTGGATATTATAAATATTAAAGTTGTAAGTGTTTAATTTCAACTCAAAAATTGAAAATTTATTTTTAAATATATATTATCTTATAATTATTTTAAATTAATAAAAAAATGAAACATACTTTTTTATATATTTTAATAATGGTGATAATAAATCATTTTTATGATGTGTGTAGGTTTGAACTTCGGAAAATGCTAATAAAATAATATATAAATGTTGATTGATTTTGTCTTCTTTTATTTGCCATTCTTTTCTACGTATGATAGATTAAAATAGGAGTTCCTTTTTTTACATTAACATTTTTTTTAATTGAAGACTAGAATGAGTACGTTTTGAAATTAATGTTAAGGATAAGCCTCGGTTTAATTATGATAATGTGTTATAGAGCATACACATCCGCTTCCTTTGACATCCGTTTTAAAACCAAAAAAGAAAGAAATTTATGGCGCCATTATTATGAATGGGGTCGTATATAAAAGTTCTATATTATGGTTTCTTTTTAAACAATATATAAATGTTAATTTTATTGATAATTTAATTTAAAAAATTAATATATTATTTTTAGAATTTATGATTTTTTGAGTCAAATATTAATTAAATCATTTTAATTTATTAATAATTTGAGTCGAATTTAATTTCAAATTACATTCATTTAATTTAAAAATAACAAAATTTTAATCAAATTGATCTTGAATGATTCGTTTACTGTACATCATCACATGCCAACCGGGGAAATGTTAAATTATTACTAGGAGAGAGTTGAACTTTAATAAAAAGTAAAAAAGAACGGAGTGAGTGACAGGAAAGCACGCGTTGCCGGTGAGAGGAGAAGCAACCGTACGGGGCGGTGGCTCCAATTGGTTGTTGCTGAAAAAGCTAAAACAAAGGGGTTTTGTATTGCGATTTGGCCCCCACCCTTGAAAAGTAGATTCTCATAAACCATCGATTACTCTCAGAAGGAGAACGAAGAGAAACAAAACAAAATAATTGTCAAACTTCTCAGAAGAATTTACAGCCAAACTTTATTTATTATTTACATGATTTCTTTTTGAGAAAATAACCTCAGTGATCGAAAATGTCTTATAATATACGATTTTGACCAATTTTTTTGATTTGCCAAAATGACCAACAAAAGCGCAATGCGATCTCTAAATCACAATACGATCTCTAAATCATAACGCGATCTCCAGTATCGCAAATCTGTTTACAGATTTGTAACGCGATTTTAGAAAATCGCAATACGAATATGTAAATCGGAACGCGATTCTGACTATCGCAACACTGAATTTCAAATTCACAACAGGTTTTAGTTTCGCAACACAAATGTTTTGGGTATATAATACGCAGCAGCAACAACTCATAACCTAAATCCCTAAATCGCAACTCATTTCATCTCCATCTATCACTCTTTCCGGCGACATCCATTCCTATATCCAACGACATCCTTCCCTATCCGGCAACAGGTTTTAGTTTCGCAGCTCGTTTGTTGATCATGTTTGGATAGATTTGTGTTTTGGAGGATCATGGGAGAATGTTCATGGTGTTTTACAATATATGCCTTTACCCATGAATCTTCAACTAAAAATGTCATTAAAAAAGTTAACTTATGAAACTCTAATGTTACGTGTTGCAAATAAATTGAATTTAGAGCCCTTAAGTGGATTTAGGCTATCTTATCAGAGAAAAAGTAAAGTTTATTTGTTAACCGACAATGAAGATGTTGAACGATTCATTACTTACATTAGTGTTTCGCAAGATGATGTTACATTGTATGTTGTTGAACCTAGAAGTAGTGAAGTTGGGTCAGTAGCGGGTAGTAATCAACTAAGTTTTTCAACCCCAGTTTATGGTGCTCAAAATTTAATAGTTCCACCACAATTTCATCACCAAACAAATTTTGTTTCACCACATTTCCAATACCAAACACAATCTCAAAACCCACAACCTTTCCCTAATCCAAATCCCAATCAACTTTCAGCACCAAATTCTGGTTTTCGTATTGACCAGTTAGACGATGATGAGCCAACAGAAAAAATTGTGAGTACTAGTCAGTATTCAAAATTTGATCTTGGTCAATACCCAGACTTTGATCTTGGTCAATACTCGGATTTTGATGATGTTTCAGAAGAAGAAATAGACCCTGCGTGTAATGATTTTGATATTGGTCAATACCCAAATTTTGATGATGAAACAGCCGTTGCAGAGGAAGATGTTGTTGATGATAATGAGGAGGAAGTTACGACTGTGAATAAACATGTTGAACATCTATTCTGTAATTCATATAACCCTGAAGAAGAAAAAGAAGAAGAAGAAATCCCCGAAGAAAAGTCCCCGAAGAAAATGTCACGGGAGTATAACTGGAATATGCCAGAATTACTTTAGATACCGGAAGAAGAGTTGGTAAAGATAGCAGTTGATTGTTACACAAAAAATATTCGTATTAAGAAAGATGATTGTTTTGATACAAAGGAAAACTTGAAGATAGCTTTGTATACGAAATGTGTGGAAGATGGCTATCAACTAAAAGTTAACAAATCAAGCAAAGATCGTTTCGAAACAATGTGTAAGATTGACAAAAACTGTCGTGGCGTATGATTGCAAATATGATAAAAGATTGCGAAATGTTTCAAGTTAGGACTTTTATTGATAAACATACATATTCAAGTACCCAAGTTTTTCCTCACCATAGACAGGCAAACAAAAAGGTGTTGGGTGGTTTTCTGGCTGAGTTAATGTTTTTGAATGACAGGGTATATCGAGGACATGAAATTATGACTGGCATGAATGCTCGGTTCAAGATTAGTATCTCATATTCTCAAGCTTAGAGAGTCAAATGTTATGCCTTGGAATTGTTGAGGGGGTCGCCAGAAGCATTGTTTGCCCAACTGCCGGCTTATTGTCAATAATTTAAAGCTGAAAAATCCTGGGTCAGTAACTCATATCAAAACAGATAGAGATGGACGCTTTGAGTTGTTGTTTATCGCCATTGGTGCTGCGGTTAGTAAATTAATATAATTTTGTTGACTCATTTTTGTTAGTTACATGCATTTCACATTTAAATGATTATATTTCTTGTGTATATTATTTTGTAGATTCGTTCGTTTATTACTTGCATGCGCCCAATTATTATAGTTGACGGAGCACATTTGAAAGGTCGATACCTTGGAGTAAACTTATTAGCAGTAGTCATGGATGCTAACAATGGGATATTGACAATAGCTTACGGGGTTGGCAAATCTGAAACCTTTAATTCATGGACATGGTTTATAGGGCATCTTAGGGATTGCATAGGTCCTATTAACAATCTGACAATCATATCCGATAGGGCAAACTCAATTGACAACGCTATTAGAAGGTGTTTCCCAGATGCTTTTCATGGACTTTGTGGTGTTCATTTGTATAGAAATCTAAAATCAAGGTCTGTTGGTATAAAAAATAAATGGACATACTGGAAGGCTGTAAAAGCTTATCGGGAAGTGGATTTAATAAGCATATAAATTGTTTAAGACGTGTTTTGCCTCAGTGTGCTCAAACACTAGAAGATGTCGGGTTTGAAAGATGGTCAAGAGTACATCAACTTGGAGCAAGATATGGTTTCATGACGTCTAATAGTGTAGAATCAATCAACACTATAAGTCGTCATTCCCAGAAATTACCCATTACTATGTTAATGGAGTTTTTTCGAGCCTCTATTCAACAGTGGTACTACAAGAAAAGAAACCATGCAAGTATTATTTCTTTAAATTCGTAACTTATCATATATTTTACTAAGTATTATTTATTTAAATTTACAGGAACATTGGAACATCGTGTTTACACCATGGATTGAAAAAAAGATAACGAAACGTGTTGTGAAGTCAACGTCATAGAGAGTTGAACCATGTTCAAACACTTTGTTTGAAGTACTGGATAATAACTTAAATAGGCTTATCGATCTAAATACAAAGACATGTAGTTGTATGAAATGGCAAACATCTGGTTATCCGTGTGGCCATGTTATAAAAGTTGCTCTTCATCTAAATCAAGATGATTCAAGCGCATACGTTATGGATTGCTACACTACAGAAGTATATCGACAGACTTATGCCGAGATTATCTACCCTATTCCACATCCTTCTGAGTGAGACATACCAAATGACTTACAAACAGTTTTGCCACCAGTCATGGACAGAAGGCTACCTGGCCGACCAAAAAGTCACGATCGTATATCGTCTAAGGGTAAAGAGAAGAAGAGATCGACATGTAGTCGGTGCAAGGAAAGTGGTCATACAAGGTTGACATGTGGAT